CTATAGACCCGTGGCACAGGAATGACCGTCAGGTGGGGGGCGGAGGTTTTCGGGGAGGGCAAGAGCGGAGCTCGCGGTGGAAAGTGGGACAAGGGAGCACACGTAGCCCCGGCGTGAAGTGGGTCGGGGTCAAGGTCGGGCTCAGGCCCAGGGCCACAGTGGGGCTGGAGCCAGCACCGACCGGTGGCCCCAAGATGGCGACCGGGAGGCCCTGAGATGGCGGCCGGGCTGTGGGGCTGGCGATGCCCGCCGGGCCCCGTCTTTTCCTAACCTCACCCTCTTCTTCAGTCCCGGCTTGTGAGTGCTTGAAGACAAATGACTTGCTGCGCTGCGTAGTAGCTGACACTTAAATATATATCTTTGTCTATACCTCTCTCTCTATATCTTGCTGTTGGGGAGGGGAAAAGGAGGCCAAAATTTTGTCTCGTTCCTTTTGCTGTAGTTGCACAAGGCCGTCGGCAGGCAGTGGTTTACGAGGTCTCCGTGCGAAGGTTTTGAAGTAGCAACCCTTGGCCTAAAATTATTGCTGCAATGAAAAAGACGGAGGAGTTTTGCCGTGCCGGTTTGTTCTGAAACTGTTGTGCGATCTCAGCTCGGCTTAAGGTCAGATCTCCAGGAAGTTGACGCATTTATTTCAAAAAAACAAAGCAACCGTTATAATTTGGAGTGGTGTATTAAATTATCTAATTTTTTTTTTAATTAGACACTCTCTTCTGCCCGTAATGTTTAGGCAGGGATTGCCTGCTTTTCATTAATATCCCCAGAACGGGGCTTTTCATATCACATTTAAATCAAAGTCCAGTGGAGCAGCTAATGAGTTTACGAGCTGAAATATAATCTTAAGGGCATGTTCTCAGATTTTAATAAACAGAAGGCTGAATATGAGATTCACAGAGTACTAAATATTGTGGATAAAAATTACTTCTTGCAGTATCAAAGGAGAGGGTTGTGCTTTATTTTTTCCCTTACTGTTTGCAGGCTGGACCAAAAGGCAAATCTCGATTGAATCCGGTGGTCCCCTCAGATTAGTTTGGTTTAAAAGATTTAATAGCAGTTAAATGTTTTGTGAATGAAATGCTTCTCAAAAGGAAATATAACTCAAACAGGACAAATGAAAATATCAAAACGTTTTGTTTTCTTTTTTAATGTCCTTTTTTTTGGATCAAAACAATTAGCTGAAATCCAAATGAGTTCTCAAAATATTTTTGTCAGCCAAATCTGCATTTTTGGAGAATAAAAGTTAGACTGAAAAATCTTTCCCAGATCTACTGGGGAGGGAGAGAAGGGGAAGCCTAGACAGTAGGACTTTCCTCAGTGATCTGTTAATAAACTGTTCTGTGACCATGCCATATACCTGTCTGTGTTCAGATTATCACCATTTCATGTGTTCTTTCTGTAACAAAGATCAAAAATAAAAAAATGCAGAAAGCCAAAATATTCAACTGAATAGATTTACTTTGGACTTAAATATGTTTGTTTTTCCTGTTGAGACAGGTTCACCCTGAAAACCCTTCAGTCAGCGTGAAGTGGCTAGGAGATGTCTACATGAAGAGCCTAGGAGAGCATGGAGCCCGCAGCAGGTCATACACATACGTTTAACAGTCCTGAGCGTTATTAGGGTGGTGGAGGTCTAGGGTTTGGAGCAAGGTTTGGAGCATGCCAGCACTTTCCGTTTGGGTGCAGATCTGGCACGCAAACAGACCTGTCCTCACAGCTCAGGGACAAGAATTCAGCCACATAAATAGGAAGACATGTACTTATGATCTGCGCTTTGTTGCCAGTGGACAGGTGGTCTTACCAGGAAAACGTAGGAACAGGCAGTATAAACCTGTCATGGAGAGACCCATGATAGTCATAGAGGTTTAAATGGGACTGGGAGAATAAAGCGCTCTTGCATGTCATGAAGTCACTTCTTAAAGGTATTTGATGAGTGATGTGGGAGGCCTGCACTAATGGGGGCTTCATCTATTTTGAGAGGATGGGGAGAAAAATCTGGCTAGAGTTTACTTTTAGATAAACATAGTTGCCACAAAAATAGTGGATTTCAAATTAGGAGACAGTAACTGTAAAGGAATAAGCTCTCAAATAAAAAATGAATAGAGCAAAATACTCTGGAGCGTTCTACCTGGGAAAGGCTGCATAGTGATACAATTGGGGCATAATTACCATAATGATTTTTTCATAACTTACATCCACATGGGAGTATCTTTTAAAACTGAACAAGTAATATATTAACAAATAAAGCTAATGTTAATACCTTGTAAGAACAAAGACTTCTGCAATTGGATATGTAACAGAAAAAATTACTTGGAAAGCATACTAGAAAATTGTTGGTTACAGAGCCACGTGAAAGTGTATTTTACTCTCGCTATACTGAAATACATATTTTTGGTTTTCATATTAAAGCGGTTTAGACTGGCTTTTTAATTAGTATCAAGATAACAGTATGCATAAGAAATAGGTCATGCTGCTCGTAATTTCTCTATCAGACTGATAAAATGCACTTACATATTGCATATAGTAATATAAATATTCATGAAAGTAGCTCCTTGATGTAGAAGATTAATAGTTTTGACATTGACAAAAGAAATGCGATACACATAATATTAAAATGGCATCTCTGCATTTGTAGGCTATGTTTTAAAGTGGTTTTGAAAGTATTTTTCAGATGATATTTGCCTTTATTTGACTTTCTACTGAGGCATAATTTAATGAGCCCTTGCCTGTCAGCTGATGTCTACCTTTCATCTGAAACAAGTTACCTGATTGTTAGCAGCCTGCTATTGGCTCTACTAATTAAACAGATGATACTAGGGGAGAGAGACCAAAAGGTAAGGGAGGTGGATAGATGGGCTCTAGCCTTGCCATTCTATGTTTGCATATATAGATGAATAAAATACAGCTATAAAATTTTATCAGTGAGTCAAGAATGACTATCTTCCAGTGTTTATGAGCAGCCATATTCTCCTACCATTCTGTATGTAATTTGTGATTTTAAGAAAATAATTTTGATATATTGCCTTGCTGAGCAGTACCTCTGAAAATGATACGTAGTATATTTTTAAAACAGCAGAACTGAAATCTGTTGTGTTACGTTTACCTTTGGTAAAGAAGAAAACACTGAGTCTCACTGGGAAGGCAGGAACCTCTTGATCTCTTTTTCTGGTGCGACTGTGTAAGGAGCAGGTTTCCGTTGTTGCAAAGCTATAGAACAGCAGGCTTTAAGGCTATTGCTTTTTTTTCTTTTTTAATTCTTAACAAGAATCTATCACTGTTTCAGGTCATGCAGCCGACTGATTTTTTTTTTTTTTTTTGGCTATTCCATGTTTTGGAGAGCAAAATCTCTTGAGTTTTTTTATTACTGGTGATTATGTGAAACTGTTGAGTGTATAAAAAGTTAAAATAAACCTTCCTGAGCTAACCTCAAGGGCCAGATGTGAAAGTATGCTGGGTCAGACCAGTGATCCGTCTAGCCCAGCGCTCTGTTTGTCGAGGCTATAGGAGATGGGAGAAAGAGCAATGCTACTATATGTGCCCTTTGTACTCTCCCAACATCCACAGCCACCAGATTAGGAATGCTAGAAGTTACCTTTCTGCCTCTTCCCCTACTATCTCTTTAATGGGCTTGTGGTCCATAAATTTGCCTGGTCCCTTTTGGAACTGGCTGACGCTGTTTGCATTCCTAACCGCATGCAACAGCAAGTTTCAGATGTTCACTACCCACTGTATAAAGATATACTTTCTTGTGTATTTTTTAAAGTAATCTCCCAGTTTCACCGGGTGCCCCCTATTCTGGGATTGTGTGATTTGGTGAATAACAGCTCCACATTCACCTTATCTGTTGCCTTTATGATTTTCTGTAGCTTGATCATATCCCTTTCCATGTTCTCCCTGGTGCAGTGACTGCCCCGGAGGGCAGTTGCTCTACGCCCTAGGTCACCTTCCTCGGCACCTTCTCTCTGTAACTCCGCTAAGCTCCTTAGTAAGATGCAGAGAGCAGAAGAGCACTGGGAGATTTCACTGTCACCCTGTTTTCCAGGTCACTGTTGAGAGCTGTTGAAATAAAGCTGTTTCTGGCACTAATCGCTGGGGGACCCCGCTGCTGGGACAATGTGAAAAGTGATGGCAGTGCCTACCCTTCACTTCCTGTCTTTTAACCAGTTTTCAGTCCATTAATGGACTTTTCTTCCAGCCCCACAGCAACATATGTCCTCCAGTAACCTTTGGGGCGCAGCCTTGCTGCGGGCTTTCCGAAAGCCCGCAGGGTCCCTTTGCCTGTGCCTATTAACCCTTCTGGGGGTGCCCACAGTTCCCACGTACCTCTCTTTGGAGCGCGATAACCTGTGTGTGGCCAGCATGTATTTTTTTCAGAAGGGCTTCTACCCTGATCTCAAAACTGGAGCATTCTCTTAGTGGCTTGCTTTAGTGACCAATGATCCTCAGCAATTTGAAAATGAAAGCCAAATTTCCAATATAAATGTGTTTGGGTTTAACTTTTACGTAGTGTTTTGTCTCCGCTTTCTAAATAAGCAAGTCATTCTTCAATATGTTTTCATAACCTATTTTTTTGATTACGTGAGGTCTGGTGCAATCAGGTCACTTTCCCCAAGCACTGCCTCACTTTTTTTACAGCCTCTTCGATTTGTGATATTTCTTCTTAAGAAGTGGAGCCAGAATTGCATGCATTGTTCTGTTGTTAATCTTACCAAAGCCGTATAAAGGGGGGGAAATAAAGCCTTTGTATTCCTTTCTGTGAACTACTCAACACTTTTTTCCCCCGCTTTTTTTTTGGCCACAGTGCTGCACCTGAGAGGATATGTGCAGTTTCCTGTCCACTGTGATCCTGGCGTCATTGTCACAGTCCTATCTTGTCATAGATTTGGTTATGTTAAGAGTTATTTGGTTTGTATATATCAGTATGTGTTACTCTGCAAGTCTTTGTATTATCAGCACACTGTATTTTTTATGCTTCCAGGTCACTGATGAAACTGCTAGACAGCTTTCAGCCTTGTACTGACAACACTAGAAATCCTGATTCTCTACTGGCAACTGCTTCTGGAGGTCTGTCACTTTTTGAATTCTTAATATATTTTAAAATGTGTGTGTTTGTGTTGTTTTGATGTTGGATGGAGAAATTATAGCTTTCATTTTCCTAAAGAGGCTATAAATAAAACACGCATACAGATAACCTTGTTTCTTCCCCTAACTTTTACAGCATAGATAAGACACACAATTTTACATTTATATGGTGCAATATTTAGGGATCCTCCCTGAAGATCCCTTATGACTTTGTATGTTTGGAGAAATTGACTTACAACAAAAATTTTGTTTTACAAAAAAATAAGTAAATGCTCAGGAGGTATTTAATTTTCTATTAAATTCATAAAAAATGATGTCAAAAGGAAACTGATCTTTTATGCCTTTGAAGCAATCTAATGACTCATTCTTTCCACTTTGATAAGCTTTATTATTTTGAAGAGGTACCCAAGAGCACCAGGTGTGGATTGATGACTAAAAAAAAGAAATTGCTTTTAATCTTCAATAAGGTGCTACATAAAGTTGTCTTTAGTGGGAGTTGTCTTCTCTTCCTCACACGATTTTTCTGTAACAACAGTCTTTCTCTTATAACAATTGTGTTTGTGCTCCTTGAAGCCCCTTGAGTCCCTTATTGGCTTGAGATGTCAACAAGTTTATTCTGACAAAGTGCAAAAAGTATTAAGTTCCTGATTTACAAAACTGAAATGCAGTTATAACTGAAAATAACATAAATGAATCCTGAGTTGCTCAGTTGATTTGGCTAGCTTGCAGGTCTCGATTTAGCTCTCAACTCTTCAGAGAATTATTACATACCATGAATTCTCTGTCCTTTTGTTAAAAAACCTTCTTTTTCCTTTTTTGCTATTATGTTTCAAACTACCTTTGTGTTAATTCATTAAGAGGAATTTTATTCTGGACTAAACCAACTGTAGCTGTGACAATTCTCCCCTTCTGCACTGAACTCTTAGAAATAAAATGCAAATGGAGGAGGAGACCTCTCTTCTCCGGGAGATGATTTCTTCTCTTTAAACAGAGAACTCTCTATTTCTGCTCTGTTCTTTGGCATTTTAAAGTGCTTCGTCTATTTGTCTGTGATGCTTGTTGTCAGTGTGGGGACACCTGCCATTAAATAATAAATTATTGTCCGTGTAGCCTTAACAGTTTCACTGCAGAGTTCATGTCAAATCTAACTACAAGTCGTAGCAACATAGAGTAAACTACTAATATTTGTAAAGATTTCTTCATTTCCTTAGCTAAGAACTTATTTGATACGGCCTAGAGAAGTGCCTCTTTATCTCTCCCCAGAGAACTGAGGGCATCAGTTCTGATTTTTATTTAAAAATATTGTCCATAGCACTTGAAAATGTATTACACAATACAGGTTGTTTCCTATACTTATAGCTTTTTTCCCCTCTATTTCAGAATGTAGCATGAGATACTGCAAATTTTTCTGAGAAATCCATAAATCTTTAGAGATAGATATAAGACGAAAGAGAAGGATAGTACCAAATATTTTGTATTCTGAATCCTATATTTCTAATGGATATATGTATAAAATTACAAAATATTTTGCTTCATTTGCCTTTAATAGAAAGTGTTCAGCCAGTGTGATAAAGGTATTAGGAGAAAAACACTGTTTCATTAGGAAGGAGTCACGTTCTCTGGATCTAATTCTTAGATTGGTGCCCATCTTTGTATAACTAGGCTTTAGGACGGTATGCTGCCAAAGTAGAAGGGCAGAGGAATTCTCTTTATTTCCCTTTATGGACTGCTAGGCATACCGTGACCTCTGCAGAGCGCGCTTTGGGAGTGTGAGGAGTCCTGACTCCATCCCTCACTTGCTGACCAGTGCAGCCGAGCAGAAACTACTTTAATTTGCTACTAGGATAGGCCAGTAACATACTGCTATAATCTTCTCCACCTATCTTCAAGAACCGAGGTGCTGCATTTGAAAGCTCCTTATTCTGGGAAGGCTAGTTCTTAGGGGACAGGGTTATTCAGCCTGTTGCTTCACAAGTCATTCCGTGAGTATCATCAACAGCAGCCATGAAAGAAAAGAGAAGGGAACATCGACCTGAAAAACTGAACTCGCTTGACTTTGATCTCAGAATAGCTGGCAGTAGTGAAGGCTTTGGCAAAGGTCACTCACTGTCTATCAGGGTCAAATACAAACAGTTGTCTGTGTGGAAAGGACACTTACAGTCTGCCCAGTCTCCTCATTTGAAATGTTTTAATGAAGCATTTGACAATTAAATGTGAACACAGTGTGAATGATCTGTTTTGAATCCATTCCACAAATAAGAGCTGAAAAGCCTAAAGATATGTCTATATGAAACATTGATTTCCTGAGAACATAATCCCTTCACCCCCGGATTTAATTCCTATCTATTCTGCTAGTGCTCATCAACTCTGCCTACAGCTATTCAAGCAATTAATTAGATATATTTCACACAAACATATGCTCCTGCATGTACCAGGATTTTTCCTCCTTTAACCATAACAATAAATAGAAAAAGAAAAAAAGTTCTGCAGAGAGGAGTGGAAGGCATTATTTGACCTACAATACATAACTGTGGTCCCAAAATATTTGATGAGTGGAGAAGTGTCAGGTGCTACTAGGTGCAGAATTGTGGTCTTAGTCGCTGAGATATCGCTCTCTGTGGGTCAGCAATGGAAGGAGGATTTAGCATTAAATTTAACATCTTGTTCCACCTTGAGAGTCTTGGCGTAGAATGTGCTGTTTGTTGTCTGCGCAGGCAGCTGATATCCATCTTAGGCACTAAGGGCTGGCAATATTTATGAGACACTCACATTGCATTTTAATATCCACGATTCTTCAGTCATGAGTGTGGCAGCATTTGATTGAATTTGTTCATGCCGTTTTTACTGATATCTCTCCATACAGAGCAACGTTTCACAGTTGCAAGTGCTCTGACAACCAGACTATACTGACTAGCAGTAGCATATCTCAGTCACTATTCATAATTCATGCCTAAAGGGACAAGTGCTGTATTTTGAAAACTGTCAGTTTAGCTTTGGTCAGGATCTACATTTAATACTTAATCAGTTTCCTATATTCCCTGAGATGAACAGAAGCTTTGGCTATATGATAATTAAGCATGCAATGAAGCATATTTATAGTCCAGCAAGGTTTACTAACCTTTATGATTTTATTTCATGATTATATATATATTTTAATAGATACATAAATATACTGTGTGTATATTTTCTGAATGTTAATTGCAGTAAATTCAGCTTGTTAGGAAACAAGTATACTGTGCCAAGATTGAAAATAACACATAATAATAGAAGGTCACTGACAATGTTATAGGTAGAAATTGTGACCTACTTTAGCTTGTTATAATGGCACAGTGAGAACGTCTAGTGAAATTTATAGCTCTGCTTTTTAGAGAGGCCAAGTGCCTGCAGCTCCTGTTGATTCCTCCTGGGGATGGGTACTCAGTGCTCCTGAAAACCTGGCTCTAAGCATCTATCATAGAAATTTTTAAAATAGCTGTCATTCATTTGGCAAGAACGTAAAGCAATATGAGAAACGTATTGGCCATTGGCTCAGTAGATCCCAGAAAAGAGAGTCATCTGTTATGTATTCACCTCCTGTGTTTCTGCAGGAACTGTTAATGAACAAATACTATTCTTTCCAGATCTCTGCTGATACCATTGATGGCTGCACAAACAAATGTGTTTTGCTGAGGAGCTCTATAAATTGAGGATCTTTTTAAAACAAAAAAAACTTTTAATTTTTCCCATTCTGAAGTTTGTTTCCTGCCGTGATGCTTGCCTTGCCCATCAAGGGAAAAAGCCATCCAAAATGTAAATAATTAAGATAAAATTGCTGAAATGATATGTGTAGTTGGAAAGGAAACATTATCTAAAGTTTTTAATCAGAATGTATGAAAATGGTGTCAGTCTAACTGTATATTGGGCCTGATCTGAAGACCACTAAAGTCTATAGCTTATTTCTGGGTCATGTATACAAGGTATATGTATATATAGACAGGTAGTCGCTCGCATACAAAGTTCTTATTTTGCAGAACAATTTAGACTTGGAAGGTAACATTAATAGGATTATTATATTACAGGTTTTCTAGCAGGCTGACAATTATAAAAGAAAGTACAATATTAGTTGTTTAGAGAAAAATATAAAATGATTTTAAGGCACTTGTCCATACTGCATTTTGTTAAACCAATCCCTTGCTTCAGTGGAAAGGAAATCTTTAGCTTTCCTAGTAGAAAAACAATTGTCAAGGAAAATTCTCTAGAGTCTCATATCTCTACTATCGGCTATAAATCCAAATCTAAGGTGAGACACTTCAGCTAAGCTAGTTATAACTCATTAAATGCCAAAATTTGCAGGGAAACAGGTGACCTTTGCAAAGAGAGAATGGGGATTGATTTCAACACGCTGTGGAAGAAGTCTATTGCCCTGTAGGTTTGGGCTGTAGCTACAGACTTTTCAGAGTATCTTGTTGTTCTCTTCTGTGGCTGCCAGACTGATGAGGGAAATCCGCATTCAAGCTTTCTGCTAGATGGTCTACAGGGACAGCATAACCCTGTAGCGTGAGGTCAGCTGCACGGATCATGTAGCTAAAGAAACTTTTTCAGTACCTAGGGAATGCTGTCTGCAGCTTGAATCATACATGAATGGTAGGTGTTTTTCAGTCTAGTTTTACCTTCACCTTCTTCCGTCCCTGACATTACCCCTGCAGGACACCCATCAAAGTCTCTGTGCTTTGATGTTTGGAGTTTTATTGCTGATATCTTTAGAAGAAGCTAGAGTAAGGAGTGTTCCCTGATTGTAGTCTAGTTTTTCTGGTTACGAGATGGAAAGTCAAATGCTTGCCAATCACTACAGCACATACCAGGGTTCTCTTATTTCTCGTATATCTCTTATTCTCTGAATTTCACTAGCTTGTTTTTGGCTCAGAGGTGGAATTCAGATTTATCACTTCTGCCATCTCTAAGAATATTCATCTGATACAGCAATTGCGTTGGTTCTTTGCTGA